CGGCAGAGCCCCCACCCGCCCCGCACTCGAGAGGCCTGGACAGCCGGCGGGGCGGACACGCAGAATCCGCTTGTGAACCGTGGCTCAGGGGGCCGCCATGTGCTCTCCTCCCCGGCCGGGTAACACCGTTTTCCCACCGCAACCAGTTCTTCTGGTGGTCCGTTCCCTCACAGGAGCAGAGGTGGCCCAGACCTCTGATGCACACACAGCAAGACCCACGTGTGAGGACAAACCTCTGCTGCTGTCCCAGGGGCCACCCAGTAACATGGCTTTGGGGCTGCTGCCTTTTCACAGGCGTCCCAGGCAGGTTATGGGCACAGGGGGAGACGGCACTTCTGGGTGACGGCAAACTACCTCATGGGCAGACTTCCCCGGACGCCTGCCAGTGTCAGGCCAGAGGACAGCAGCAGGGAGGCACTGGATGAGTTGTGAGCGAGAAGTAGGCCTGATCTAAATCTCACTTACTGCAACATAACCCCACTCCCTCTTGTTAGTGCAGAGAGGGATCAGATTATTGTCTTCTTCCAGCCTTGTCCTTGCCTCCCTTCATTTCTCCTGTGGCCACCACCAACCAGCTCTTTCAGGCTAAGCGCACACCTTGCATTCCTTCCTGTTTTTCTCACTCCCTTCTGAATTGTCCCCAGGTTTGCTCTCTCTCTGAGGGCATGGTGCCCACTGCTGAGCACATTTCTCCATCTGGTCATTCCTGGTGTTGGGATGACTTCACACATTGACCTCTGCTGCTCCTGCTGCCACAGCCCAAGCTGTGTTATCTTATTTAGCAACCCTCTGGCACTGCTGACTTGGGTTCAGCTGCAGCTTCACAAGGCTTCCTGAGCCAGGCAGCGCAGGACAACTGCCTAGGCACTCACTGCCTTGTCCCCTTTGTGCAGCTGGTCCTGCCTGCATGGCTCCCTCCTCAGTTGGCTCCTATTGCCTGGGACCACATCCGCCAGCAGCCACAAGCACTAGGAATCCTAGTCCCACCAGCACTCACCCCCCATGCCAGACTGATGTTGTCCTCTGCCAAACTCAGTCAATTACTGCCCACTCTGTCACCCTAGTTAATAAAAACAATAAGGACAGAGCCAGCACAGCCCCAAGATCCATCCTGTCACTGCCAGGACAGAGCAGCAGAAACATCTACCAACTAGGTGAGAGGCAGCCAGTCCTCTTCAAGAGCTCAACAGAGCACTAGCAATCCTGCCCGAGGACCAGTGCAGGTGTTTGGGATGAAGGGAGTGCAATTTATTGCATCTGGACAAGCTTTTCCTGGCAGGTTGTGGCTCCCTGCACATCATCATGATGGCGTGAGGGACATACACATGCTATGGAGGACATACCACAGTCCCAGCAGCAGCCACCTGCTGAAAGTTGCCAGGCTCTTTGCAGTTAAATCATTGCATGTTGAGAGGGTCTGTGTGAGAGACCTTGGGAACACTCCCACCTCTCAGGCCCCTCTGGCAGGGGCAGACAATGTAGCTATCCCATGCAGATAATTTAGGGGAAATCCAAGGGGTGGGGCTGGGGGATAAAACTGGATTAGCAGTTCAAATTTACATCCTCAGCATTGGTTAACTGTCATGTAATTCCTACCTGGCCAGAGGAACTCCCCCTGCCTGTTCCTGTCATGCCTGGGGCAAACTTTAGAGATTAGACACAATGAGATCAGGGACCTCCAGAGTAAAACCTCAAGTAACTCTGACACTTGCTGTAGGAGTATCGCTCTCCCTCTGGTGTCAACTGCTGATATTTCAATACTGTTTTTTCACTGTCTGAGACTCACATTGGTACACACGTGAAGAGGAGAGACCCTGTCCCCAAGGGTGAAAGCTCCAGACAGATGTCTGTGATAGATCCAGCAGTACCAGGCTGGGTCCCTGCACCTGAGGGCCTGGCACCTCCTGAGATCTAGTCA